TTGACTTGTCTAGACGCTCAACCAATCGAGCTAAAGAAAAGTTCTCTCTAAAAAAGCGGTATAATGCGGCTAGTATTTACCAGTGTTACATACTTGATCTTTTAGAGAAAAATGTCGCTGATAAAGGGGCTGCAATGCTAGATCTGAATCTTACAGAGGAACTTAGAAGTTGCGCATTGAATTTGACAGAAAATTAAAGGGTTTAAAGGACTCTCTTGTTGATATTTGCCCAAATGTCCCATCATATCCATGTGAAAATATGTCTGATGACCCAAATGAGAGGAGCGATTTAGATATCACACTCAACAAAGTGAGGGCGCTCGTGCATGACGGCTTAAATCTCCCTTACGTACAAATGCAAGGGCATGATTATCGCTACTCTAGGCGACGCAACCCAAAAAAGGGCAGTGCTTAACGCAAAAGCGACTCTATTCGAATCTTTATAAGAATGTATTCATTGAAAGTGAAATGTCTCCGGATGAACTATTGATAGCCGCTAACACTAGAACCTTGTTAAAGGAACTTGGTAAAGACGATAGGTTCAGTGTTAGTCGCGACAGGACAGTCAAAGGTATCACAAACTTGGAACCTAACGATCGCTCACAAAACGGAAGTAGTAGGCGCAGAATGCTCAATAACTGACAGGGACAAAGGGGAAACACGTTGTACTAATGCTGGAATTAGACAATAGGTTGCGTGCGTGTTTTGGAATTAGTGTGGATTAAAAACAACTGCAAACCCCAATAAATCGCGTATCCGTAAAAATGTATCAGCCACCTGAATTTGGATATCATTGGCGTAGCGAACATTCACCTAACTGGATCAGATGTTATCAGCATAGACAATGATTTGTGGTTTGGCAATAATAGAAAATCGGTGCTTCAGTAATCATAGTGCGGATCTAAAAGGTGTCGGATTTTTATTGAAGAAAGGGTTATTGGGGAAATTTCATGTCGCGGTGATATAGGACGATTAAAAGGGTATCATGTGGCTTAAAATTTCTACACACGCGAGCAACCAAACTTTGTTTACTTGTGTGTGCTATCTGCCACCCAAAAATTCATCCCGTTCGGTAATGTTCGCGCGTTTTTTTAATACAATTATTGGCCAAATATATGAATTTCAGACAGAAGGAAAGCTGTTTGTGTGTGGTGATTTCAATGGTAGATGTTCCGACAAAGAGGATTTAATTTCGGGTATTGATAACTTACTAGAGAGGCATGTGGTTGATTTCCAGTCAAACTACTATGGAGAAGCTATCATATACTTCTTAATAAACGTTAATTGTTAAATGTTCACATTTAATTCTCCGAATGGCCAATCTGTTGTCGACTATTGCTTTTTTCCATACGAACAGTTGAACGATTTTTCTTATTTTAAAGTAATACTCCCTCGGGATTTAGTTCAGCAATCCGGTTGTATAGGACCTGTTAACGTCACACACACCGTACCTGATAATTATGTTATATAATGGTCATGGAATATCGAGGCTCTCTCTGACGATGATACCGTAAAAGGCCAAAGTCTGAACATTAGAAGATTGATTATGACGCTGCACCGCATAACATTTTCATCGACGAGAAAAAACGAGCATTGGTATTGGAGACAATTTCTGCGCTTGAAAGTAGCAGTCGCATTCATGCCGAAATTAACTCATTATATTTAGAGTCCGTGTCAAAAATTAAGTCAGTAATGTGTGACCAGATTCCTGATAGGAGAGTTAAAATCAGTTATGGTTGAAGTGATAAAAAGAACAGAGCTATCAAAGCATGATGGAGCGACCAGCTAACAAAGCAATGTAGTTGTATGTGTAGGGCGGAGAGAGAATGGCGGGAAACTTATTATCAGGCTAGGTCAAGGTTAAAATCAAAATTCGTTGAATCTAGAAGAGAGTTTGATCGAGCAGTTCAATGGGCTAAACATAGATATGGGATGCAATCTGTACAAAATTCAGTCATTATGTGAAAATAATCAGCAAAGTTTTTGGAAGGAGATCGGTCGATCAGGACTTGGGAGAGAGAGATTGAAAGTTATTCCAATGGAAGTTTTAAACCGAGATGACACATTGAACACAAATATTGACGATGTATTGAGTGTCTGGGAGAACGGTTTTAGAAAACTTCTCAACCCTGTGTCTGACGCAACTGATCAGCTTGGTGAGTGAATTAAAGGAAACATGGCTGTCGATAATGATGCAGATAATTCAGTTTTAAACATGGATATATACCTAACGAGATCGTACATGCTGTTAAAAAGCAAAACTAGGGAAGTCGCTAGGTTTTGATGAAGTACCAGTGGAAATTTTCAAGAACGACTTTGCAATGCCATGTCTTCATAGAATGTTTACCTTTTGTTTTCAAACATGTAAAATTCCTGACATTTTGAGGAAGGGAATCATACAACGAATTCCAAAATCTTCAACCACCGACCACGTGATCTTACTCAGTACCGAGGTATCATATTAGCATCCGCTGTATACAAACTGTATTGTGGTGTGCTCAGTGCTAGACTCTCGAAGTGGTCAGTGATTTACATAATGGCTTCCGACCTGGACTTAGTACGATATATCATCTCTCCATATTATCAAATATTATTGAAACAAGAAAACTTCAAAGAAAGTCTACATTCCGTGCCTTTATAAATTTTAGAAAGGCGCATGACGCTATAATTATGGGTATTCTTTGGAATAAGCTGGAAAGGCGCTGGAATCAACAGCAACATGTATGCGGATATCCGAGCAGTCTATCGAGAAACACTAAGTTGTGGTTAATGGGATGTCTTCTTATTGGTTCGAGGTGAAGTGCGGCTTAAAACAAGGATGTATGTTGTCCCAGATTTTGCTCAATTTCTTTGTCAACGACCTTTCAATTGTTCTGCAAGGCCAAATTACCGGTGGAGAAATCAACGGTGAAACATGTGCTCTACACGGATGACTTATTGCTCTTAGCGGATTAACCAGAAGACCTTCAAATGTTGTTGAATGTGCTTTCCGTATGGTGTATGGACAACCCCTTAGACATCAACCCAAATAAATCAAAGATTGTCCTCCACTTAAGACAACCTTCGAAAGTAAGGACAAGTGGCGTTTTTAAATGTGGAAGTGTAGAATTGGAAGTAAGTGACAAGTACGTTTACTTAGGTTTGCTGTTCACCGAACACCTAGACTTCAACGAAATGACTAAAACGGTAGCCAAATCAGCGTCACGAGTATTAGGTCTCCGCATTGCGATGTTTGAAGCAGTCGGCGGGCTACCATATGCTTCTTAGTTGTACGAGACCCAGGTTTAGCCAATGATTAGCTATGGAGCGAAATATGGGCACTCGGCTCCTATTCCTGTATAAATTCCGTACAAAATGGAGCGGAGAGGTTCTTCATGGGGGTTTGGCAAGTATACACCATCCGCCGCCGTGTCTGGTGATATGTTAAACAGTGGGTAACTGTGGTTAGCAATGTGGTATGGGATGTCTTTCATGAATGAGACCAGAGTTTGCAATATAGTTTATAAACGAGCACAGAGCTTAGCAGAAAACTAACGGCTGAAAAATAGGTGTTTTAAGTTCCGAAACAAGTGTGCGGAGTTAGATTTGCCCTTAAGTAACTTAGGCAATACCATTATTAATGCTGTACCTGAGCGATCTCAGGAAGCTGCTATAGATGGCTTTGTAGGGAAATGGCGGGAAGTTGTTACGAGGGACACTTCCAGGACGGGGCGTTGAAACAATGATATGTTTAGTTTAAAACTGATTATTGTTGTGAAATGTATCTTAAATGTCAAATACCAAAGTCTTGAAGGAGTGCTCTTGCGAAATTTCGGTGTAGAGCATAAATAGAATCGGACATTTGTGCTTTTACTGCAATGAAGATGTGGATGATGAAGAACATGTGCTCTCTCGGTCCCCACTGTACAATGAGTTTTAGAGCTCTTTTATTCTCGAAAGCACAATTTTTAAATGATAATTTTAGAGATATGTCCGATAGTGATAAAGTGTCTTTCGTTTTATTAAGTAGTGAAAGATGTATAATCATGTCCAAAACCTGCTTTAATATTTCAAATAAGAAACAGAATTATTTAAGTAAGTAGAGTAGTATGTATGTTATTTGCCTTTGTTGTACGTAGATCCATTAATTATATATGTGATATAGTAAGTATGTGTCTGAAAATATTTAACTTCGTGATAATAGAGCAATTTGTCATAATTTTAAATTCATGTTTAATGAATTTTCTATTCAATATTTTTTCTTCTTTTTTTTTATGACGAATCTGTAAAAGTTAATGTTCATTTGATGAAGCTGTATGTCTTGATATATGCATTCAAATTTTGATAATACTCAAGTTTAATCTGTCTGCAATAATTCATTACTAAATGGCTCATTTAATTCTGTTTGAGGAACGTATTATTTTATGTAAATTGTACATTTCATATGTAAATGAGTTGAGACGTTGATAATAATAATAATAAAAAATTGCCCGTCAGGAAACAACTTGTCCTCGAGTTTCCATGGGTTACAGCGATGCTGGTGGTACATATCTAAGTATTATTCCAGAGTCCCTACATGGGCACCAATGTAACAGAGGTAATTATTTCAGTATCTTCATTATATACATGTAGCTATGTTTTTTCTCTCTTATCATGCCTTTGTTATTAGTCCTTCATGCTTTATACACCAGCTCATGTATGTATAGATATTTTTCTGTATGAGCATTTTTAAATTATCTTAAATTGACGTTTAAGTTTCATTATTTTGTAGCTACCATTGTTATCCTTTGTATGTGTTTTGCCTGGTGTCAGTTATTTCTTTTTAATTGTTTGTTGGTAATAACAGTTCTTCTGAGATAATGTTTTTGGCGCCAAGTCCAGTCATGGAAAACAGGATAAAGGGAGGTAATTCAATTTCCAAAATGCCAATTATTTCAATCATTTTTATATATATTTTATTTACAATTAAATATTCAGTACTATTATGAAATGATGCAAAACGTAATGAAATAATCGGGCTGTATAGTGTCCATAGTCTGTTGAGTACAGTAACCAAGGGATGAAGTTCTGTATTCTGACACATCACTAATAATCCCTTCGGAAAACTGAACAATATTATATATCAGGTAGATTTGCACACAACCAATAACTCATTGAATTTCCATTCCGTTTCACCCTTATGAGAAAATTTCTCTTTTCCAGAAACTCATCTACATACAGTTTCCTTCTTATACATTTTTAAACTGAAATGTTCAAAATAAGCAATTGGACTAGTGCCACATAGATTCCCCTGAATTACTGGTAAATGGGTCCAGTTGTCCTCTGAATAACATACACAGTATTCCAGTAATGCAGGAGTGACAGAGTTAACACAAACGTCCCATGTTCAATTTGTGTCTTACAGTAGTAGTACTTTTCCATAGCCAAACTCAGTCCACGGTTTCAACCACTGAAATTACAGATTAAAAATGTCTAATAACTGCAGCCGCAAATCAATTTCATTCATGAAATAGTCATTTTATGACATTGATAACTCGTGAAATCCTATTTTGAAAAAGTGATACATGTTGAAATCTCAAAGAAAATTATTAAAATGAAATATATTTTAAATGTCATGACACGAGAAAAAAGCATGAAAATCAAATACATGTTATCAAAGATCTGATCTTTTCTGACAATATTTTAAAAATGAAAACGCAAAAAAATATTTTCGTGAATTTAACTGACATGAGAATCACAATGATTATCTAATGAAATGAGTACAACACGTACCGTTAGGAATATTGACTTTGTTGGACACCAGAACATCAGCCTGGATATGAGTCATATTCATATACAATGACTCTGGGTTTGACTGTAGGGAAAAAACATCAAAAGTGTAAAAATTCAACTCCATATTGTACAAATAAAATTGTAGCTCAAAGTGTGAAGTAACTTATGAAATTATACAGGCCTAGCCTATTTTTCAAATCCATACATGTAAGATCTTCATCAAAATTTTTAACAAAATGACTAAAATATTAGGGAGCTGATAAAGTGAACATCCCCCTGCCACACCCCACATATATCTGATACTGTAAAAGTCATATATTTTTGTGGAGAATTTATTTTCGTTCCATTCAGGGTACACTGAATCCAGAAATGTATATGCCCACAAAAAAAAATTCAAAGTTGACATGGATAATAGTACTAGTAGATTTCATGTGCAAGATTTAACTAAAAGTTGTGTGCAAGAGAAATACACCTACGGAATTATATGATTTTACTGTATATCAACATCAAAATAAACTTACCATAAAGAGATTGTACAAAGCTTCTCCCATAGCTTCTCGAACATTCTCATCAACTATTGGGAATGTTCGACACAGGTACTAAAACAAAAAAAGTATATTGTGTGGTTATTTGTTGTTGTATGTAATGATATATAGGTACATACATCTTGTATATGTATATCATTGTATTAATTATTTTTGATAATACTGAAAGTATCCTTTTAATATACTAAAAAATAAATGCATAGTTTTCTTTCATTTTTTGGGGTTTTTTTTACAGATTGTGTAGAAGGGTTAGATATATTTTTTTCTGGTTTTTGCTTTCTTTTTCTCCTTTTTTTATTCACTTTGATTCACTTTATTTACTTCATTATAACTACTGACAATTGTATTACAACAATATCCTTTACCTTTAGAAATTCACACACACAATGAGCTGAGATCAATGAACGTTTGTTTGGAAATACATATATCAGCCTTTAGATTTCTGCTAGATTCTGACATGTAAGGTGTTCCACGTAGATGACAAGACTGATATTTATTTATCAATACCTACCTCCAAAGACATGCTGGCCTGTCTCTGACTGTCGGCATGATCTTGGTTCCCCATGGCGTACAACAAATTATGGGTCACTTTCAGCTATGATAAAAAACATTAGTGTTACCTAGATATATTGAATGTTATTTTAACTAAACAATTAAATGATGATTATAATTCTGAAATATAGATAATTTTTCTGTTCAGAGATGAAAAATTAGAATGAAAAAAAGGTTTCCCAAAAAAAACTAGAGACCTGGTGAATAGAAAAATATTTTGGCATTGTCTTCTAATACTAACATGTAAATACAATGCTGAAATTTGATACTACTGTCATTTCCATGCAGCTTTATAATATGATTAACTTAATGGCATTCATCAGTAGAGTTCCATTATAATTATTAATTAGTTGATCATTATCAAATAGTTTATAAGCTTCCATTGGTATACAGGTGCCAAGTGGTTGTTTTTAAATTTGATGAATTAATAGATAGCAGTAAATAACAACATAATGTAATATAACGTACCTGTATTAACTTCTCTGCGATTTCATTTGACTCCCTCTCCAGAATTCTGTTACAAAAATACAAATATTTACGAATTAAACACAGAAAAAACTCCAATCAAGATAAAAGTTAACATTCTGAGCTTCAATAGGTTCAATTTTCTTTTACAGTTACATTATTTTGGTTTGTTTTAAAATGAAATTTTTCATGGTTGTATTTTTCTGTCTTCTATAGAATTATAGTGGTTAAGAAAGTTTATACAACAACACAATTTCATGTGTATTGGAAAATCAATACAAGGTTACTTATGTTATTGCAAAATCTGATAATTAATTTGGAATGAAATTTTGCAGTGTCCAAGATTTCACATAGTCAAACATGATCAGAAAGGAATATTTTTTACATGGTAAAAAGAGAGAACAAAAAGATACAACCAAATATGAAATATTCAAAATAGCGCTTAAAATTTCAGATTCTTTTAACTGATAACAGCATTCTTGATATTCATTACTATGATAGTCTTTCCAAATCCATTGTTATGACAACTACCATCTTCCTTTAAACTCTTACCCAATAGCCTGTGTTTTTTTCATGACTTACCCAATAGTCTTGGCTGCAGCAGCCTGTTGTACATATACTGGCAGTGGGGTATTTATCTTAGGTACGTCAGGGTCTATTAATAGACAAATGAAATGTAATACCTGTTACAAACAAAGGGCCTTCACTTCATATCTTGTGAACGTAGTGAATCTAACATAGTGTCCATTTGTCTGAATGGGATACTACTCCACTCTAAACCACATTTTGAAAACTATAATCATTATATAATCTACAAATTATATCATCAGTTACTCAAATAAAAGTACAGAAGAGTGTTGTTCTGTGGTAATGACAGCCACAGAAATTACATAACTCTATATCAGAAATATGCCTTGGACAGAGAAATGTACTGAATGATGGCATGTAAACCTACAGAACCCTTCACTAGTACTAGTGAGGTTGGGGGACCAACAAGCAGTTTAATAAATAAATCAAAGTGCCAACCTTCAAGAATCTCTGGTCTGCGGATGGTGTCCTCTTTGGATGGGTGTAACAGGCCCACCAAACCTTTTTGAAGCAAATCTGCAACCTCATCATAGGCCATCAGCTCCTTGATAAGCTCAATTCCTGAATTTACAAACATGCTGACGTCATTACTATTTCATTCAATCATTCATTCATTCATTCATTCCTTATTTTATTCATTCATTCATTGCCATCTGAACAACAGTGTTTTAGGATGAGATTGGTGATGAAATATTTCATATCTATCAAACCTTCAAACTGGACCTCCAGATGTAATGTCTTTAGCAGGTTAAGAAGTGGTTCCACTATACTGACATTGGCTGTCTGAACAATCGGCTAAAACAGATAGATAATTAAAAATTTAAACCACAATAATAACACATAAAATTCTAATCAATGTTATTATGACTTTTGAGTCATTAGTCCTACACATGAGGCTAAAGAAATATTAAATCACATCTGGCAAAGTTTTCAAAGTTTACATACATGTACTTTTACACCATTATTTTTTTTAACTATTATTTTCAACAAGAACATAGTCATATATTTTTTTAGGTGAAAGAATTTCAAATTTTTGCAGTTACCTGTACAGTTCGTAGTGACTGTGCTGCCATCTGCTGAGCCTTGGGAGAACTACAGGGAAGAAGGGCAATAAGCCCTTTGTAGACTTGTGTTTGAAACTTAGGATTTCCCTGAGCAAGCATCAGCAGCAGATTTCTACATGCATCTTGGGTTTCTTCCGTCTTTGACTTGGCCAAACATTCAGCCACTGCTCGGATACCTGATGTACAAATAGTCCACAAAATAATTGATCAAATTATACTTTTAAAGTGAAAATTTTCTAAAAGTTAATCTACTAGGCTTTAATCAGGGACTAGGTGTTTGGATTAGGGAGGAAATCTTCCTGCCAGTATGGCTAGAGAGGTACATGAAGAACCTTTGTTTGTCCACAAATAAGCCCATACATGTAAATAAGCCTATCCACATCAATGCTGTCAATAATTGAAATTGTGGGTTATTTTTGTATTTTTAAACACCCTATTAACATCTAGTGTCCAAGTTACAAAGGGCAAATGTTGTAGTTTGATGTTGCAACTTGCAAAAATAGTTCAAATATGTTAAGTATTGCAGCAGGCAAGGATAGTAAGTGACATATAAGTATGGTGTATCTGCCAGGCTTGGTAACGTCATTTGTGTTAAGAAACATACTATAGTAGACAAATGGTAATTGAAAAATTACAAGTTGCTCAAAGTTAAGTACAGTGCCTGGTAGTTTGAGGTGTGTGGGTGTCTCAGTGTTCCACAAAATCACTTGACTGGTTTTGTCACAAGATTGTAACTTGTCAGAGGTGGGTGGTGGGGTTGGTTGTCTTTATATATAGGGAGTCTGTCGTATGGGTGGAATAAGATAACGTACAGGGTTGCTGGTGGGAATATTGGTCATACTTAGATTTGGAAGTTTAGTGTGACACATATTTATAATTCAACTACATCTCAGAAAACAGATTTCATACTTTATCTGCAAAAGAACAGCTCCATTCAGAACTGGTTGATGAGGGTGATCCTGAAGAGGTTCAGGGGGTCAAAATCCTTTTAAAAGTGAAAATGCCACTTTGTTGCATTCTTTAAACATTTTCACATTGAATGGCCATTCTTAATAAAGATTCCCAAATCTGAGCACAAGGACAAATTCCCAACCCTTTTTTTATTTTGTATACATACAGACCATGTTATGGGGGATGCCAAGTTCCAGTGAGGCAGAGGTACCCTGCTTATTTGCTGAAATTATTACATAATGTATTCAAGTCTGGAGTCAAAAAACTTCTACTGTCACAGAATAACCAGTACTTTGGAAAATGTTTTTTCATTTGTGAATTTTATCATATATGTGTATCATAAAGTCATTTGACATATCACCTACCATAACTTTCACAGATGAGTTCTTTGTATTTTCGCCCTGCGTTAGCAATGGCTTGCAGACATTTGAGGCCCTCTAGTTTGTCAGCTTCTTTGGCCTGTTTTAAACCAATTATCTCAAGTAATGTTAATACTCCTCCAACTTCAAGAAACTCTGCCATAAACTTGTGACTGAAAATAGCAATCACAATAATATACAATGTATTGTAGTTTTATCATGAAACAAGAAATGAGTTATCAAATAATTAATTCAGTGAAAGAAAGATCTATGGTAACACATTTGTACTAAATATAAAAATGTGGAAAATTTTCATTGGAAAAACAATGTTCAAAACTAAAATGCAAGACAGATGAAATCAATTAAACTGCAAGATAAGTAGTATATACGATGTATATACTTAAAAATTATCTTGACTTAAAAGAAATAAAAAAATTAGAAAAAGGATAATATTGCTGAACATGGCACTTTGCATAACAAGGGATTGAACTTATATATTTGGAAGATATGTGAAAAGTATAAGAGGTAAATTTAAATTGAAAACAAGAAAACATGAAAAAAAAAGATTGTCCCAAAATTTGCAAAGAGCTATACATACGTCGAGAAGTCATTTCACTTACCCACTGGAAGCTGATAGAAATATTGATATTGCCTTCAACTGGTCATTCAAACTGGTACCAATCATATATCTGCTGTGAGTTAAAGTGGATAAATAATCCATTGTACCAAAGAGTACATTTGTACACATAATAAACTAGAAATTAATCACACCCTGAAATGCTATTAGGAATGGTACATTCATATGTAGTGTACATTGTACATATGTATCTACATAACTTTTCTTCTCATCTTCTATTCATTTATTTATTTATCTATTTAAATACAGAACTGTTTGTGTGGCAAGAATAAAGGATATTTGAGTGAGGTAAACTGCATAATGTATCATATGAGCATTTAAATACAAATTGTGATTGATAAGATTGTGTATTATTTTAAGGAATTATATCAGATCTTCATCAGATTCCAATGACTTGCTACTGATCAATTTACACTAAGTGTAGTTCACAAGTGTGCATATGTGAGGGTTTCGAGTGTCAACACACAACTCATGATCATAATAAATGCAAGATTAGATGTGAATTATGCCTCTTTGCAGGGTAAAACTGGTGTATTTACAATAAGATAGGTATAAGCATTGTTCCAAAAAACCTTAGATCAAACCGTATGATAGCTGTAATATTGAAACATCGGAAACTTCACAGCTGAGGGCAGCATAATAGTTTTCACCCCCTAAAATAACAAACTGATTTGAAAAAATCTCTTTATCTAAATCATTTCATTGAAAGTGTCATGTTTTAAAAATATTTAAGTAGATTTATGGAAACAATTTGAGATTAATTAGATTTTTTGTTCTCAAATTATCCACTATATTACTCTCCTGGTATGGGTATCAGGGCCAGAAACGATGTACTCAAATTCACCCCCACCTCAAATAGTAATCTCAAACAAGATGCAAAAATATTGTTATGAAAAATATGAAAACCCACATTGCCCACTTCAACCAAGACAAGATCAATTTTAACATGAATGAACTTTTATGATTTTAATTCAAACCTTTATAATGGGGTGTTATAATGAACAAAAATCCACTACAAGAATTTATCATCATGGTAATGGTAGTGCTCACAAAAGGATACGTTAGTCGGAGCCATGCTGTCAATCTCGCCAGGAAAAGACTAGCAGCCTGTGCAAACTCTTGCTCCAGCTCAGGGCCAGTCTTGTTTTGATTTTGTGAAATAAAGTCTTTAAGAATCCTTCCTCTCACCACTTTACTTCCTTTGTCCCATTCTTGAAGAAGGTTCATTACCTTTGAAATAGCCGACTGTTGTTTTGCTGATCCCATAGTTATATTCTTGTCACGAAACTAACACTAGATTCGCCGTAATTAATTGTAGAGCAGCTGAGAGTTTTCTTACTGCTCAGTTTAAGAGGACAAATTGTATCTCAAATAATTAAATCCCTTTATGCATTCCCAAACGTCCAAGAAACACTGCGCACAATCTTGAGGTCTATAAATGAAGGTTACATCTTTCACAACATGTTCATTCTGATGTAGAACACGTGATTCTATTAATATTGAAATTCTTATCCTAACATTGTTGATATTTGTTGCTACACGGCCATATTGGAATCTTGATTTTGTAACATTATTTTTGATTGGTCAAAGTGAGTTTGTCTCTACCAATGAAATCATGCGTTATCATTTCCGGTTTTGAACAAATCCAACATGGAGAAAGGAGAGGACGATTTGGAACTTGACTACCACATAACATTTCCTACGCCGACTTCAGGAGATGTTTTCGATGATGACGATGCAGACTTGTTACATGATTTCGTCAACGTTAGCGGTGAAATCGTTGAGCCCGTTGTCATTCTTATCGGTTGGGCAGGCTGCAAGGACCAGTACCTTGCAAAGTATAGCAAAATATACGAACAAAATAGGTGTGTATATATATTGTGCACTTTATCTTCCGCTGACCTTGTCTTGTAACTCTTCAAGTATGCATTAAATGTGTTATTGACGATGCACTTTAAATGACATCGTTGTGAAGTAACGTTAAGTGCATAAGTACGGCGACACGGATGTTAACGTCATGTACTTGTATACTAACAGACTTAACACTGATGGTGTACTGTAGTGAATGCACTTTATCATTTAGGATATGCACATTAGAAAAAGACAGCCATACCAGGATATGAATGATAAACGATCTTTAATGATTCAATGATAAACATTCAAGCTGAAAATTGAAAATAAGCACTGACTAATGACTTTAGTCCAAAAAGTTCTGCGTAGATGTAGTCGGTATCATAAATATTTCTGCGTTATCTTTTTGTTAGTTTTGCTCTGGTCTTCTTGTCAGTTATGAGCGTTCTACATGAAGTTTAGATAAAAGGCTAAGAATTCAACTTTCAATTCCCTGACACAGTATTCACTGGGATTTTATATCATTAAAGAAACATGAAGATGCCCTAGAAAAGAACTAACAGGCTTTCAACAATGCTACGATGACCTGCAAATTACAGTATAAACAACACGAAATTATAAGTCATGGATAAAGTAAACAGATAGAGACAAAATATATTTATCTACAGGCTTAATTCATTTCTATTTCTGAATCAAAACGTTTATGACAGAGAGATGACTTTTACACAAACTATTTATTGTTTCATTATCAACATCTGAACTTTGAAAACAACTTTATTGTGAGCCTGCCAAGGAGTATTGCTTCCATAATCTTGTTAAGAATGAAGGATTTAAAAATTGACATACAATTTACATATTATATCTTTATTAACATATGAAAACTAGTAATTCCAGCAGAAATTACTTAAAAACTATCATCAATATAGCCCCAATAAATCCCAAATTGACTCAATTGTTTCATTCTATTAAAAAGAATTGGTGAGATTTATATATCTACTTTTTAAAACATTCTGACATTCTTCACCAACAGGTAAGAAAATAGCAGGATATTCCCTATATATAGTATGTTACATGTTAAAGATTTTTGGAGAATTTAAATAAGTATCTTTCATATGTCCTGGGAATGAAAGGTAGATTAATAACCGGAATAATTATTCTAGCAATCAGCTTTCCAGATTAAAAAAATTCCACATGTCTACAACTTTCAAGACAATACTGAATATGGTCCAGTTGCTGGTGTTGTGTATATCTAAAATGCTCTGATTTTCTATCCAAACTCATTATTTCATTTATGTACTGTTACTTCATAGCATTCTTTTAGATTTTTGAAAACATTTTCGACTGTGAAGGAGAAAAGTTTAATAAATAATTTTCCTTTCATTTATATTCCAGGTGTATAACTATTCGCTACATTCCTCCTCGAGAAATAACTTTCTTCAAGCCTCACCTTCTCCATGGAATAGGAATCAGAGTACTTGATTTGATCAGTGACTTCAACTTGGAGGAAAGTCCTGTCTTCTTTCACATATTCAGCAACAATGGCGCCTTTGTCTACTCAGAAATCTCCCGTATTCTACATTCTGTAGAGGGAAGAAAATACTCAAAACTGAAAGTGAAGGGATCAATAGTTGATAGTGCACCTGGAAAACGCAGAATTCTCAAAGCAGCACAAGCTTTCGCACTTTCTACCGGCAATTCTGGTTTCATGAAAATTGCATATTTCATAGGCATGGTGACATATTTGTTCTTTTTGAGAATTTATCTGTTTTTGTCAAGAATTTTCAATAGCAGATCTTCTGGTATCACAATAAGTCCCTATTCAATATTTGAGTATATAAAGGAAGACAAGGCAAGATGGCCCCAGTTGTACTTATACTCACGTTCAGACGAGATCATTCCACACACAGATGTTGAAGAGATAGTCACATACAGAAGGGACAAACTCAAGCTACACATTCAGTCTGAGTGCTGGGAAACACCGAAACATGTATCTATTCTGAGGGAAAATCCAGAATCTTATGCCAACAAGTGCTGGATGTTCATTGGGGATTGTCTGAAAGAGGACAGTAATGAAGCTACAGGAGGCCAGATTCTGTATACTCGGATATAAACATATATATAAGGGTCATGACCTTCATAACTGTAAGCCTATATCTGATTATAAGCCTATAAGTATCTATTGCTATAGTAGAATCAGACACATTTTATTGTCCTGGATTCTTATTAGCCTTTAACCTGATTTTGAGTCCAAGGTAATGTATTGGCTCCAAGGGCTTATTGTCATGTAATAAGGCTACCCCCTGAGTCAGGGGTAACATACATTGGTTCCCTGGGCTGTGAGCAGGATAAACACAGAACACATTATCAACAAAAATGATTTGAACGTTCATATCAAATATCTTGGGTCAGGAACCAGAATCATTTCAACTGATGTCACATGACTGATGAATTTACTCTATGTAAAGTACAATAGGGATTTATGATCTATGATGTATGTAATACACAGTAGATTTTTAAGTACTTACATGCATCACCTGTTTACATGCATGTATACATATTAATTCTGAGTACTGATTATGTCACCAGCTGTAGATCTATAGACTTGCATTAATATAGCAAAGTGCTCAATTTGTTCTTGGTTTGCTTACATACAGAATGTAAAATGCTTGAACAAAATCAGTCAGTACATCAGTGCTGTTTTTATTCAGCAGTGAGCCTATGTCTGTTAATAACCCCATCCATTTAACATTTTGGTAAAATTACAAGCCAGTTGTGATGTTATGTCATTGTCCTGTTATAAAACCACTTTCCTCATCTGTCTTTGAGTTAGAGGAAATTTATTAGTCCTGGGCTGTTTTAGCATTAATATGGTATACCCTGATTTGATAGTCCTGGGCTGTTTTATTATTATTATGGTATACCCTAATTTAGTAGTCCTGGGCTGTTTTAGCATTAATATGATATACCCTAATTTGATAGCCTTGGGCTGTTCTAGCATTAATATGGTATACCCTAATTTAGTAGTCCTGGGCTGTTTTAGCATTAATATGGTATACCCTTTAGAGTAGATGTATTTATTACATATAGTTCTGTATATTGAAATGTAAATTAATTTCAGGACATCTGTTTCATGAATAAACGTCAAACTATAAATGTTTGACCCAAAAAGCATTATATTTCTACTCGAAAAATTTAACAGCACAAACAAGAATAATTTCATTTACATGTATACTTGGCAAAAGCATATTGTGAAAATGTTATTATATTTGAAAATTTTGTATCTCTGCAATTGAAACTTCATAAGGCTTGTAAACGTTGTTCCTTATAAAACGTTATCTAAGTGGTACAATTTGAACAATGTAAATATGCATGGAATGATCTGAGAGAAATTCAGCTTATAAAGTAATACAAGAATAAACACTTTCATGTTGTTCCCAGACCGACAAACACAGAGGGTAAATATTATACTGAAAAAACCCTAAAGCTCTATTTTACAAAGCAAGACAAAGTATATTGTATTGTGATGTACTTAAGTTTTAAAATTTGTATTTCAATCCACTATATATTACTGTGATACAAGTTTGTATGGTTTACTTTAATGTAAATCACCATTATATTTTAGTCAGCATCAGTCTCATGTTTGTAACAGCATTCTAGGCAAGTATATATGGACACTATTTGTCCTCTGCCAAACAGTCCAAGTCCTTCTGAATATAATTCTACCCATTATCTTTGGGCATTATTTAATTGAGTGTATATAATTTATCACTTCTATGTGACTAGTCTCTTAATTACAATTTTATTGAAACTGGAAATCAACTCCTTCAGTCTGTTAAGACAAATTTAAAATCTTTCTCTTATTGGTAGTTGTTCTTTTATGAAATTAAAACTGGTTAAGGGGTAGGGGTATATATATAAATTACATATCAGCCCCTGCTCTTATTGTTTTCATTTATAATAACACAAGACAGTTATTTAGAAATATCAAAAGTACGTATGGACCATCACTTTTCTTTGCCATTGTTTGAAAAGAAACTTTTACATATATTGTATTTTAGAACACATATTATGGGTGAGACTAATTATCATTTGGTTTTGGATTTTCCTTCAAAGGAATAAATGTTGTTACATGGAAGACCCTGTATGTGTATGTAACTTGTAAATTGGGTAAAATTTCTGTTTTGGTTGTTTGTAAAAAAAGATTCTAGTTTAGTTGTATTGGTTTATTTTTCCTTATACCAAAAAGTAGAAAGCATTTCCCCTCCATTAGTGAATTATTTAGCTTTGATAAAACATTTCCTGCTTGCCTTGTACTTTTTTTCTGTCAATCATCGACACAATCACTCTTGTATATATGTTTTTATTGCTGGTTTGATTTGTCCAGTTAGTTTTAAATGTACATTATAATTCTACATTTTTTGTTGTCTTTCATTTCATTGAATTAAATAGGATTGTTGTAAGATTTTAATTGATTTTAGAGAATATAAGTAATATTATGAACAAATTTGTTTGAATTCAGATGTTGTAACAGAAGTAAATGATTTATAATTGTCTGTTATTGTATAGTGTATAACTGCTTGTGGGAATTCTAGACTTTTGAGTTCTGAATGTGAACTTGCCAGGAAGTTTATGTATGATTGTATTAAATCTTTTCTAGTCCTGTGTGATATTATACGTAATGTCTCCTCACAGTACAAGTGACATTAGTCTTTCTTTTTATGTTTATATTGATAGAAGATGATACTTAAGTATGCATATAAGACCCTAACATAAAATTGTCTTGATACTTATTTATGCAGACAAATCTGTTTGTCCACACTTTAAATACATTATTTTTGGAACAGTATGAACCTGTAGACCTAGGTCAGGACAAACTTACAGATGTCAACTACATAGACCTTGAAAGATTTAAAGCTCATACTCTTCAAACAATTGAGAAAAAAAAGATTAAAATGGTAGGTATGTTCTTAGAAATGAACAACTCTGTTTCAATCTGTAAAATTGAGAGATAAAAAGAGACTTGCATTGGGTTGACCAGGAGTTGCTTTGAAAAGATGTGGTCAAATGAACTGAAATTTTTAGGATTATCTCCCCTGGAACAGAAAGTCGACCATCTAGTCTCGCTATGTAGTCTGTGACAGAGATATTTTATTTCTTTCCTTTCAGACATATCTGCAAATTAGTACTGTAAACAACAGCTCAGTTGTAACACTTTGCTACAAAGATTATAGGTATACATTGTTAATTGAAACCTTTTACTTTTGTCTTTCTGTAGCTTCATGTACATGCAAGATTATAGACCTTGTGTTTCTACTGGACATAGCCCAGTGGTATTGGTCAGTGCCATGAGATATAAAAATTTCATGCTATTGAACTTGCCAAAAGTGTTAAGAGTGATTGAAAAATGCTTATGATAAAGATTTATTTTGAAATACTCAATTATCTTCAAGTTTTATAAAGCTGTTTTTATTTTTGATTTTTTTTTTTTATATTTTTTTTTTTAAACAAATTTGTGTTTAATTATAATTTCAATAAATCACAACCTTTTTGGAAGTGTCCAAGTAATCTGCAAATTGGATCAAACAGGGTTTTGGTCAATTATTTTTGTATATTCAAAATTTAGACTGTATACATGTAGTTCTTATTTCAGTGAATTCACATCAATTCTATGAACTGTTACAAAGCTACACAATTATCAATATTTTCCTTTTATTTCAAGGACCCTACTTTGTATTTTTGTTTTTCATGCAAGATGTGTGTTTTGTTTTTCACATTTTAATTATTACTATTATATAACAAACTTAAGTTTACTTATACAACTTGATTAAGATGTTGGAAGCCTGGCCAGCTTAATGAATTTCTAATGAGAGTTTTCAAATTCTATTATTGTCAATTTGAAAATAAGATATCTAAAGTTTTGTTTTTATTCATTATGTTGTTGTTTTGTTTTTAATGGACTTTGATTATTTTGTTTTCTATTTCTTTTTTCTCAAATTCATGAAAAGATATAATTTTCCCTGTATTCATATAAGTACTTTTAACTTTTTAAAATTTTTCTTTTTTGTGTTATTCTGATCTCTGCTTTTCTATTTATAAACTGTAAAACTATAACTTGGCCTCTGGACTCCAAAAAGTAATTGTAGTTGATTATAATTTAGGTAAGTTACATTCACCCATCCATTCTTTATCTACATGTATCTGTGTGCACAATTTCTGTTTATTTCTAAAAATGTTTTAACATTTTTACATTATGTACATTGTAGTCTCTGTTTGAAAGTTAATAGCAATAATTAAACTTATTTTGATCTGATATAAGATGATTTTGTTGTCAATGTGATTGCTTGAAAAAACAATCGATACAATAAATGCTAAGTAGAAGTCTTCACAGATTGTGTGTGTATGTGTGTGTGCGCTCGCGCGTGCGTGTGTGTGTGTGGTGTGTGAGGGTGTGTGGTGTGTGTGTGTGTGGTTTATTGTCCCGTGAACAGCCAGATAATATTCTGTACAAATGTGATAAACAGCACGACTTGTTTACAATTGTGAACAATTCCACAACATCGACTACCTGACAATAGCTGGGGAAAATATTAATAAAATAAATGTAAGTACCAATACAAAAGTATGAATATAATTGTCACATGCTTTTCTTTTGCTGCTGTACTGGGCGTTAGATAGTTTCACATACAATCCTATCACCTCCAGACATCTGTCATATAATAGGTTTAACATCCGGAGTACATTTGTCAGTGGCGTAGCAAAACATTTTTAGGAGTGTATGCTTTCAAGAGAGGATCCAAGGGCGAAGCCCCGGTTAAGGGGGTCTAGGGGCGCAGTAAGGTTTAAAAAGTAGGGCAAATATATCTCAATGGAATTCGAGCGTATGTTTAAGCATGCAAGCATACATTATTGCTACGCCTCTGTTTGTAGATGCCTAAATGTCTAAATCTGACATTGCTAGAAACTATTCAGTAAACAGTACACCAGGAAATTTGTCATGTCACGATTAGTCATGACTGACAGTAGAACTTCAGGGGTTGTACAAAGTACAGTGTTTTGACACGAATTTCCAACCTACTGTCCATATATATGTAGTATAGTGACAAGGGATGTAACTCTTGGGACGTCTCCCTAGCCACTTCTACCATCAAATGTAAATAGACCGTGGATCGGGAATTCGTGACAAATCCATGTAGTACAGCCTTACAACAATTCACTGCAATACATTGTACTCTCTTAAGTTTTTCTAGTTTTTACTGATGCAAAAATGTTTAACAGAAATTACTTTTCATAAAACGTATATACATCGGCATGAGATCTAAAACACGACGTGTTAATCCGAACTTGATTTTTAACTGCCCGACTCAAATGTGCTGATATTGCAATGCATAGTAATGTGTCTATATGTTAGGTCTGTCAGATAGATAAAGTAGACTATTGTCAGGAATTGGTAGAAATATCCTACTGCATCATATTCACCGGCTGTTAATTATCGGCGCTTTGTTTTGGAGCTGTTCCGTAGCCCCCTCCTTAGCATCATTGATGAGTACTAGAAGGACAAAACAGCCATTGACACAGCATCAACATAGAGCTGACTTTGGAATCGTAACGGACTTCGTTGACATTTTTATGCAAAAGATACGTAAAGGTCCCTTGCAGTAGTTAAAGCTGATCCCAAAACGTTCTCAATATTAATCTGTAATCAAGCTACTTAATTGGAGAAGTTGACAAATATCCGAATTCATTACATCAGAATTGTTGTTTTTTGCAGGGAAAGAAGTTCTAGGATCGAAGTGATCGGAGGTAAATATATTACACATTCTATTATCAAGTTAGACTATTAAATAGTGTTTTAGGATTTGAATAGCAGTACATCCAACTCCAGGGAAATGAAAGATGTCAAAAACAAAAACATAAAATATAGTGGGACATTGATCTATGCCAATATTCAACGATATGCTTATTTCTGTAACTTGTATTATACACACAAAAAACAAAACTTTTTTTCTTCTTCTTTATGATGCATCTATACACAGCATGTTGACCAGTGTAAGTGTTGTGGTAATGTATGATTAAGTACAAACGCTGAAGTTATTGGGCAGATTTCACGATATTCTGAGACAGAAAACAGCACCCTACATTCGCCCCGTGACGTTTTCATCTGAACATGCACAAGACAAAAGTATGACAAACAACCACTTATTGTCACTTTAGAATCAATATTGATCTGTGTTTCTGGCGAATAATTGCCTCTCTCTTTAGTACTGTTCGTTTTACTTTGGTGCACGCGACCTGCGGTATACGTGGTTATATAGGAAAATGTGTGATCTCAGTAACTTTTAATCTAAAAAAAAATGACAGTAAATATGTCTGCAACGAATGGAGACATCAAGCGTTTTCTTACCCGAAACGTGATAACCATATATATAATGATGAATAAAACATTTGATTAAGATGAAGGAACAGTTTTATTTGTATTTATTTAATAAAAATATCGAAATATAGCTATTTCTGCCTTTAGTGTGATTTATCATGTCTGGTTATTTAATGTTGCTAAACTTGAAAGTGCCAAAGATCCCGAAACCGACTAATTAATTCATAGCTATGCAAATCTTCGGTCCAGAATATACTCATAAACCTGACATGCTTTAGAAATTATTAGATACATGAAAATTGCGAAATTTATAGAACTGTAAGGATATTGATTTCTCCTATCTATCCAAGATACACAAATGTAACGGTGCTTGCATTACTATAGTTATGACTATCAATTTTCTTGCAATAAAACCCATGATACCGTTTTGATGAGTTTTTTTTATTCATACACATGTACTTGACGCTGTTCTAAAATGACATGATATGTGGATATTATAGAATTTATTTTATCATGGGGCTTATACACCTCCCCATTTAGATTTTGACTTTTCTTTTGATCAATTTTGATTTTCCGCAGTCGCCTCCTAGGTTTCATAATTTAGACCCTTAGCATCACAAACGAGTACTAGAAGGACAGAACAGCTGTGCAATGCAGCATCAATAACGAGTACTTGACGGACAGAACATATGTATAATGCAGCATTACTAACGAGTTCTTGACGGACAGAACAGATGTATAATGCAGCATCACTAACGAGTCCTAGAAGGACAGAATAGCTGTATGATGAAACGTCACTAACGATTCCTAGAAGGACAGAATAGCTGTATGATGAAACATCACTAACGAGTCCTAGAAGGGCAAAACAGTTGTATGATGCAGCATCACCAACGAGTCCTAGAAGGGCGAAACAGTTGTATGATGCAGCATCACTAACGAGTCCTTGAAGGGCAAAACAGCTGTATGATGCAGCATCACTAACGAGTCCTAGAAGGACAGAATAGCTGTATTATGAAACATCACTAACGAGTCCTAGAAGGACAGAACAGCTGTATGATGAAACATCACTAACGAGTCCTAGAAGGGCAAAACAGTTGTATGATGTAGCATCACTGACAAGTCCTAGAAGGGCGAAACAGTTGTATGATGCAGCATCACTAACGAGTCCTAGAAGGACGAAACAGTTGTATGATGCAGCATCACTGACGAGTCCTAGAAGGACGAAACAGTTGTATGATGCAGCATCACTAACGAGTCCTAGAAGGACGAAACAGTTGTATGATGCAGCATCACTAACGAGTCCTAGAAGGACGAAACAGCTGTATGATGTAATATCACTGATGAGTCGTAGAAAGACGAAACAGCTGTATGATGTAACATCACTGACGAGTTGTAGAAGGACGAAACAGTTGTATGATGCAGCATCACTAACGAGTCCTAGAAGGACGAAACATTTGTATGATGCAGCTTAATTCATAACGTGGCTCTACTGTATCTTATTCTTTACTTCTATCTTAAGGTTCTACCGTATTTTTTGTATACTCAATATCACACATCGATATATGGATTTTGTTTGTCGTAGACCAATTCATTGTCTGGCATAGTCAAGTATGTTGGCATAGTTATCAGTATATTTTTTAAAATGGTTGACTGTTCAGATGAGTAATTTAATGGTATGCAAAAATAGTAAATAGGCATTTTATGAATTATGGTCGCTCTATATAAAAAATATATATCCGTATCATGTGTAACCGCGTTTTTCAAATAACCGCTATCATATGATATTCTGATATTTTTTCTTCCTTTTAGGACTTTCTATGGTGCAGAAGAATGCGGGCAGAACATAGAGCAATATGGAAGCATTAACCCGTCTGTCGTGGCTCGGTACATCCGTATAAGACTTGGTTTAACCCATCCTTTCCACCATGTCTCCGATAATAAAGTGATTTCTCCAAGTAAATAACTAGAAGCAAATTTTGAGATGTTCAAAGCAAAACTCCATGATACTGTCTACGAACCATAGCATATTTCAAATAATTGGTAGGGCACCTTATATAAGCATGAACGATGACAGTTCTGGTGAGAAGATGTTGAAATGGCTTCTCAAACTTAAATGTACGTTGTTTGCATTCCGTTGTTAAATCCGAGGAAGATGTTGACGTTTGGCGGACAGAATCGCCACGAGAAACGTAGGTTGATGAAAATAAATTTTTGTGGTAGCACTGATAACACTGAATATTTCTATAAAATTTGATGAGTTCCACACTTGTTAGCATACCTTGTGTCTCCATTATTTTTAACCACATTACTTTCTTGCATTGACTAATATTACTGTTACTTTCATTGCTTTGTAGTGAGGACTTAATAGAATCACGTTCCGTCCGTTCTACAATGAAAACTACCACTTTTTATAAAGTGAAAATGCCTACAGCTGCCTTTTTATAGTACTAACTTCTCGTGTCTTTGTGAAAACATATTGTTTGGTGAATATGTCTCGTTACCTTTACAATGAAGATCTTTAGTGATCACCCATACCATTACAACACCCCCGCTCTCTTCGCCTTCATTCAACATGCATAATACACATGTTAGAGGCAGTACGACTTTACAGCAAGGAATATTCTTCAGTCACTATTTTGGATCAAATAGAAATCTGTCGCTGGTCCTAGACATCACTTCTGATTTTTGTACCATATCAGAAAAAAATCCTTGCTGCGTGTGTTGGTGCACTTAGCATGATTCCAACGAAAATCGTAAAAAATTGAAATGTGGTAAATAACTTGTGATCATTTCATGACAACTCTACATAAAGTTCGAGAATAATGGGATCTTGTGTGCTCTTAACCATTTGTTTTTTTTTTTTTTTTTTTCTGTTCGTTGTTGACATCTTGCGTAGACTTAAATCCTAATATTTGGGGGAGCAAGTTCCTAAACATTGAATTAAGTGTGGCATGTTGGCATCACGGGTGGGGGGGGGGGAGATATAAGTATCAAGAATTAAGTGTGGCATATTGACATCGGGTGGGGGAGATATAGGTATCAAGAATTGAGTGTGGCATGTTGACATCACGAGTCAGGGAAGCAGGTATCAAGAATTAAGTGTGGCATGTTGACATCGGGGGAGGGGGGAGGGTGTTGGAGATATAGGTATCAGGAATTAAGTGTGGCATATTGACATCGTGAGTCGGAGAAGTAGGTATCAAGAATTAGGTGTGACATGTTGACATCACTGTCGGGGAAGAAGGTATCAAGAATTAAGTGTGGCATGTTGACATCGTGAGTAGGAGAAGTTGGTATCAAGAATTAAGTGTGGCATATTGACATCGTGGGTCGGGGAAGCAGGTGACAAAAATTAAGTGTGGCATGTTGACATCGTGAGTCGGGGAAGTCGGTGTGGAAGCAGGTCACTGTCGGGGAAGTAGGTATCAAGAATTAAGTGTGGCATATTGACATCGTGAGTCGGAGAAGTTGGTATCAAGAATTAAGTGTGGCATATTGACATCGTGGGTCGGGGAAGCAGGTAACAAAAATTAAGTGTAGCATGAGTGAGTGGCATATTGACATCGGGGGAGGGGGGAGTTGGGGTTGGATATATAGGTATCAGGAATTAAGTGTGGCATATTGACATCGGGTCCCCAAAATGACCATGATTTAGCCTTGACAGTGTCGTCCCATTATGAGTGGTATAGCCAGAATCACGACCCCGTCATTGGGCGTCGGAGGAATATCTCGCTTTGTGTATACATGTATATCAGCATGGTGTATCATAGGGAGTGAACGCGTGATCACATGGAAATCCGAGACAAAACTGTTTAACTTCCTTAACATATCTGCATGATCACTTGTGCTCAAGACTTCAGTTATGTATATATATCTTTCCTTACAATACAGTATAGTGTTGGTCACGTTTATACAAGCTGGTATATAGGATAATTGTACACATGTCTTTCTCACCTTGTTGCATTCAGACACGGCGCTGATAAAGCCTTCAGTCTGACGATATGATTATGTATTGCAGCAAAAATACATAAGTGTTAAACGTGTATATATACATGAACCAAGCACGCACATGTCGACTTTAATCTCAAAATCACTTTGAAATTTTAATGCTTGGATTTATTAGCAATGGAATAGGAACATACAAGCTATAACTTCACTGAACAAACTGTTTAAGATTTTTTTTTACGATATCATTACTGAACATGGGATAATCAGAGGGCATTTTGTCGCTTGTCTCTCTATGATTTTTCTTCTTTCGGAAATCATTTTTTACTTCTCTCTTTCACATTCCTTCCGTATTTCAATTTAGGCCGATAAGCATGATTTATATAACTAAATATAATTTTTGTCATGGGAATAAAACGTATTTCCTTCTAAGAATTTAATCCTCTGTGAAATTAGTGTTTCCTTTTTTGATCATACTATTTCATTTCCTTTTTTGATCATACCATTTCATTTCCTTTTTTGATCATACCATTTCATGAAAAAATGACGCCATTTTGTAATGTCACGTGTGCCTTGCTAGTGGAACGGTGTAAGGAAGTATCAAAGAAAAGAATTCGTTAAAATAAAAAAAAATATCGCAGACTGTGAGTTAAGCTTTAATTGTCTTTTTATGTAATTTTCCCTTAACATTAAAACCATTATGTACTCTACCAATAGCTCTGCTCGCTATATTACATAAAACTAATTAAAATCGATACTTAATCGAAAATCATAGATATTTTCTGTTTGTATTTTTTATTGTTGTGGTGAATATTGGTAAAATTGGTAAAATTTACATTTTTGATGATGAAATTTGATATTAAAATGACCATTAGTAGTTGATATTTCTGGAGACTTTCAGTCTTCCTTTATATATTATATTATACAAACAACTCAGATATAAGCTTCAGCTTTATCATATATTTCATTTATCGTACATATTGTATCATGCCTCTGAGAGTTAACCAGTTGCATACTTTGAAGTCAACGTTGTCGAAATCATATTTATTGAAGTTAAAAGTGTTTTGTATCTAGCTGGACATTACATATTTTGTGTTATCTAAAGGGCCAGTACAACGTTTTAACGAGGTTTGTTAAGTGACACCTACAAAAACATTGAATTCATAGATAGAAAAGTAAAAAAAGTGTTTACAAACTTTCCTCCCGCAATAATTACTATGGTAGCTGCTTCATAGTAAAAAAACTGTTTTATTTGTATAGAATATGAACAACTTAGAGATCAGGAGTACTGCGGAAGACCATGCCACAAATAGTTTCACTAAATGTTGTAAGTTGTATTTTGTGAGACTTGGACATCCGATTCAGGAACATTTTATTTGCAAATATGAAAGAAAAATCTCCTCAGACATCTTAACAAAACAAGAATATCTTCCAGTTTTATTTCCTTCACAGTACTTACCTATTTGAATATTGTTTTGTTGTTTTTCAACAATATTGACACGCGGTGTTTTCATTCATTTTAAATACAAATCAATGTTTGTCTAAACTAGCTAGATATCAAGTAGTCTATGGAATGTTGTTGTGTCATTTCCAATCATTTATCTCCCTTTATGCAAATACTGTTCAGGTGTGTATCGAGTTACCAAGTCGGTGTACACAGGTGCAATCTTACCACAAATGCATACACTTGTGAATACATGTACACACTTTACTCGATCACACGTACGCATTTAAGTCCACCACAGGCGTGAAAATACTTCATATTGATATCACCATTATATTCTTTTTCATACAGCAGTTTTAAGTTACTCTTCAGTTGATAGTATAATGTAAAATATAAACAACAAACATATCAACAAAATATAACACACATAGACTAGAAACTGTGCTGAGCTGAAAGTAAATTGTTTATTTCCTTCCCGTTTGAAACGAAATAATCTTATAAAACCTCGCGAGGTTACAATTATAAAATCAGTGTACTCTGATCTGTTGACACATACATAGAACTTTTTTTATCATGTCGTGTTAAAGGGTAGTCTACAGTCTTTCACGCACTTCCTGGTTAGGATTATTTCCACTATGGCGGCTATTAGTGAACCTGTGTTAAAATGGTCTGATGAAAAATACCGAATCAAAGACCTGATTGGGAAGTTCACTCTACCGTTGATGGTGAAAGTTGAAGAAGGAATATATGGTCTCCGTGAGTCAGAATCATTTTCACAGGACGATCTCTTAAAACTGGAGTTAATCAAAACTATTCCTAAACTGATCACTTGTTGTGTAGATTATACGGGACGTATTAGGGGCATAGGTACACTTCGAGAGGACGAACATGGGTACATAGAAAGATCAGATGACCTTACGATCCCTGTCCGTTACAGAGGTATGGTCAAGATATTCCAACCAGAAGGCACAAGGAATTACAACAGTGTTGGTGATATGATTAAGGGCTTTCCTAGGTATGTTAAGACAGTGGATTCATTCGTATCAAGGAATGGCATCAATATAGAAAAGGAAACCATTATTCAACTGCAGCGTTTCATTCCTGGTAAAGGACTAGTGTGTACCATAGGCAAAGACCATGCTTCTGCAAATAAGGACAGTGCTCACGTGACGCAAATTTTACTGAACTCTAAAGATAGACATAGATTCGTTCTGATACCAGACGACAATAGTTATACATTGGAGGAAGTCGTAAACAGGTTCCCATTGCCTCAATATGTGACGTTTGTCAAGAAAGGAGGCCCTAAACTAGTAACAACTAACATTGAAGAGTTGGTAAATCACTCAAGAATATTCGAGGGAGCAGTGAAAATAAAGAGTATGGTTGATGTGGATGTCATCATTGGTCACTACAAACCCCCAAAAGGGGTTTCATCTACTACACAAAAACGCTGTCAACGAACGCTCGTCATTATTCCAGAGAACAGTGTTACGGCCAGAGAAATCGAGGTTAGAGTACCGCTGAATGATGACGACGATTACGACTACGAACTTGTAATGGCCAGAAACTTCTCTTGCAAAGACGTGCAAGAAGAGGATATTGATGGAACAGTATACATGGACTTTCTGAAAACACCGAACGCAACCTTCATAGAGTATGATGAGATCGAGATCCCACCGCCTTCACCACCTCCACTGCCTAAACGGCATCGGCAGCCCAGTACAGAAGGTGAATCATTATTTTTAACCCCTCTCCTTCTTTCTTGACCACGTAGTCTGCATGATAAAAAGCTGCATGTTAACAACATGTATATTATCACCTCTTGCGAGTGAATGAATAAGGTGTGTTAAACACATTATTTAAATTTCCTTCCTTAATCTTTTACAAAATTTCATGTTCCTGCACTGAGCATTTAAATGTCTTTTTAAGTTCGCAGAGAAAATATAAAAAACAATAATGGTTAAATCCTGATATATAATTTTTGTGTTGAAGAGATGAGTGTATATATTCATTATATTTCACCACTTATAACGACGAGGTCTGACAAGCCTATATTTTCCGATAGTGTGGTGTTAGCAGGACATGTTTCCTCGGAGATGCAGGACTCCAGTTCTGAATCAGGTCTATAGACGGGTTTCAGTTATTTCTTAACATACATTTCGGTATAATATTGATAGAAATAAGTTTGTTTCAATCCTGTAAATTTGGTTTTGTGATATAAATTGGCAACTTCAGCAAATTTATTATTTTTGATATGAATGTAAACTTACAAACTGCCCTAAAAGAAAAGAATGATGATTTGCAAATCTAATAAAATGCAGCTTTTGATTGGTGAACACATTTTATAAGGTATACGGGGCGTTCAGGTAGAAAATCACAGCTGGTATTGAAATGTAAATGATCAGCCGTTTTCAAACAGTAAATTAACTTTCATCCATTGTGAAACCACTGCATGACTGCGAAACTCATTTCCTTAGCTCTTAAATGTTGTTATTTGGATTAAGAAAAGTGTACTGAATATGTACACTATAATAGAAAAGAGGAATAATAGAATGAACACGTTTAATAATTATTTAGAAACATTTATTGTTATTTCATAATTTTTAAATGAATAAATAATAGGTATTGAATTAGGAATGAAAGTGTCGAATAGGTAATTAAATAAGGAATAGGGAATAGGGAATCAACTTCACGGACGTGTTATCTTAATGCATAACAATGTGAAATATTAACCTGTGTGCATCTTGTTTTGTCTTTTGTAAATAAGGGCATGATTACCACGTATATATACATATATATATACATGTGTTTCATTTATGCACTTGTTGTGATGGGATTAGCAACTCCCCCGCTACCACCTAAGCCACTACGTTTTAGGCCCAAAACTGGCATGCATGTCGGAAAGGACCAAGTGGAAACAGGTAACTATTAAGTAGGCAAAGGCATTAAAAATCTACCTCCTTTTTCAATTTTTTATATTTTCTGTTATGTAAAGTGTTTTCTGTATGTGTTTTATAAACATACATAGACTAATGTATAATCCCAGTTATATAGTTCTAGGAGCTTCATTTCGGTACACACTATTTCCGCCATTTTATATCATTGGTTCGTAATGTCCGTTCTCCAGCTGGTCACTTGATAGTTTTGCTGCTAATTCTAGCCTGTCATTGTCTTATGATCGTAAGATAATCGTGTTTTACAGAAAGTTAACCTATGACAACAGTGAGTAATTTATCAATTTGTCTTTTGTAAATAAGGGCATGATTACCACGTATTTATACATATATATACATACATGTGTTTCATTTATGCACTTGGTGTGATGGGATTAGCAACTCCCCCGCTACCACCTAAGCCACTACGTTTTAGGCCCAAAACTAGCATGCATGTCGGAAAGGACCAGGTGGAAACAGGTAGCTATTAAGCAGGAAAAGGCATAACAAATCTACCTCCTTTTTCAATTTTTTATATTTTCTGTTATGTAAAGTGTTTTCTGTATGTGTTTTATAAACATACATAGACTAATGTATAATCCCAGTTATATAGTTCTAGGAGCTTCATTTCGGTACACACTATTTCCGCCATTTTATAACATTGGTTCGTAATGTCCGTTCTCCAGCTGGTCACTTAATAGTTTTGCTGCTAATTCTAGCCTGTCATTGTCTTATGATCGTAAGATAATCGTGTTTTACAGAAAGTTAACCTATGACAACAGTGAGTAATTTATCAATACTTCTGACCTTTTACATACATAAAGATTTTCAATTCATATGCTGTGTTACTCTGGCGGTATGATGAATGAAAAATATGATTATATAGACTGCAATGGCCGATATATGCAGGTACTTGTTAATGTAAAGCATGTTTTTGATATTAGCCCAGGACCGACGTCAACCAGAACAGATGCCTATAAAAACGAAGGGTGATTATTATAATCAAGGTAAGGACAATGAATGGTAAACAATTAATGAAATATAAGTACGTATTTTGTTATACAATTAATGGAATATTAGTACGTATTTTGTTATACAATTAATGAAATATAGATACGTATTTTGTTATACAGTTAATGGAATAAAATACGTATTTTGTTACACAGTTAATGGAATATAAATACGTATTTTGTCACACAGTTAATGAAATATAAATACGTATTTTGTTACACAGTTAATGAAATATAAACACGTATTTTGTTACACAGTTAATGAAATATAAATACGTATTTTGAAATATAAATACGTATTTTGTTACACAGTAATGAAATATAAATACGTATTTTGTTAAACAGTTAATGAAATATAAATATGTATTTTGTTATACAATTAATGAAATATATATACGTATTTTGTTCTACAGTTAATGACATACATCGCCAGTCAGTGGTAGTTTCAGCTGTAACCTTAAATGGGCTGCATGCTCACATAAACCATTCAATAAAGTTTTTTTGTTTAAAGATACCCCTTTAAGATGATAGAAATATAAAGTAAGTAGAACCACTCTTACGACTATTTATTGTTTACTGGACCAGTCCTCGAATATGCTTCTTGTGTTTCAAACGGCAGATTCTATACAAAGAAAATGTACAGTTCAGTCAGAATCATATCTGGCCTTATGTCCATAACCTCACGTGAGGAAGTATTTTTTGAAAATGGTTGGAAACCACTTAAACCGAAAAGAGAGGAGCTATTTTTTAATAAAATACAGGAATTCATGAAGTTCCCCTGCCACCAGGTAGGTTTTACAACCATCAGTGATAACGTGTTTAATTCAATGTCTTAGGCTTTACGTACTATTTCAATACATTAAATTTAGATCGTTTTTATTGATTAATATTAAGATGACACTACAACTTATACTACTTAATGATTTCATCAATGTCTTATTTATTCTTCTCATAAATATTTCGTTTTTATTAAATGTGAAAAAATATAAGGTAGAACTCGAACTATCATAAACGTGCAATCTGAGATCAGCCATTAAGATTCTTGGCGAGTAAGCAAATTATAGGTATATCGAAGTTGTGCTAAGCCAAGTAAACTATGCATTTATCACGTTGTTTCTGTGTTTCTAAAGTTTAAAACTTTCATGATTTTGTTTAACATGAACAATTGTGATACTCCTGCCAAATGAACTTTAACCTTACTTGGTTTTGGGGGTGTTGCAAGTATACCTCCGTAATGCTCTAAGGACATACTTAGATAAGTAGGCCGATACTATTTTCAGATAGCTTTATTATCCAAAATGATGGAGGTCTGAAACATACAAAAAGTAACATTGTAAATAAAATCAACTATCTGTTGGTAAGACATAAGTAATAGACTAACAAGTAAATACATAATCCTCTATCCCTCCCCGAGTCATTTATAAGTATTTTAAATGACTGATTTAATGTTTTTGTCCTTGCGTGGGAAATATGGATGGAATAAGTCTATTACTGTTCATTGTCACTAAAAATGTGATATGCCTTGACACTGTTATTACATTGTGAGATCAAATTATGTATCAATTAACAGTAAATGTAACAAACAAAGAAAATGAAATTAAAATGATAAGGTTCTATTTGTACATTAATTAAAAAAGTAGAAAAGTAGAACTGTCATTGGGCAGACTACCCTCCAGTTCGGGGATTATTCTGCCCCATTTAATGCTCATAATCACTAGGCCATTTTGGCTCTTGTCGTTGTCGATTAGGACGTCTTGGGGTAAGGTCAACGGATAGTTGCTCTGGTCTGTTTGTCACGATCCTCCTGGGTGTGACTGGTGTTGCAGGTGAGGTAGTTGGAGGATGTGGTGACGGGGGTAGCCTGGGCGATGCAGGAGAGGGAGACGGATTAACCATTTGTGGGGATCCGTCCAATGCCAAGGGTGTTTGCGGTTTAGATTGGACTCACCTCTCGTTCCTTTGCCAGATATGCTTAGGATGACTGCCCCAAGGATTCTTATGTTGACGTTGTTAGCAGCATGCATCTTCATGGTCACTGGGATCAAATGTTTCTCTGAGATGCCAAGCCGATGTAGCACCTTAATGCCGGCTAGGCAGCTTTGGCAACCTGTGTCAGCCATGGCGGTGATGGTAGCTGTCTTTGGTTTCGGTATGATCTTGGGGTCAATGCCGAAGTGGTTATAGTCTTTAGGGTCAACACGAGCAGTCACATGCATAAAACGCTGAGGCTGTGACGACTGGCGAATTCAAGTGTCTGATAGCTGATTGTTAAGATGATGATCAAGTTGAACAACATTTCTACCATAGTTATTGTCATGACTGGTTGCGGCGCAAAGTGAATCATACACAGCACTTTCCTGTTCAGTCTTAGTGTTTGTCACATTGTGTTTGCCTCTGCATACGGACTCAAAGTGGTTCATTCGCTTGCAATTGTTGCATGTATGACCATATGCAGGGCACTCTTTTTTGCGAGTTTGTGGCGTTGCTTTGGCACCAAGACCTTTATTTCCACAATAGGTGCACAGTGTCACTATACGAGCGGCACTCTTATTGCGGCGATATGTACTGCTAGCTGCTTCTGCTCCTTGAGAAACCAGTAGTTTAGATGCAGAACGTTTACCCGATTCTTTGGCTTCAACGAATTGAAATGTTTGTTCAAGTGTCATGTTTTGATTTCTTTCCCAAAGGAGATCAAGTTGAATCTCAGAGTCGTTGAGTCCATGAATAAGCACATCACGTAAGATTGCGTCAGTATAGTTGACTTCGTTGTCGCAGCTGGGGCATGGTATTAAAAACTTGCACACACCTGCTTGTCCGCGTAGTCGAGCACCAAATGAGCGCACAGTTTCTCCACGGTCTTGTGTCATGTTGTTCAGTGCTACCCGAGCTACCATGGTATTCTCTTCACGCACAGATAGGATCCTCATGGCTGTTAACACATCTTCTTGAGACTTATCCGTCAGCGAGCCACTAGCTGATCTTGTGAGGTCTCTCCGTAGATTCTCATCGCAACACTCAAGAAGCTGTATAACAAGTTCCTTATCCTTTATCTTAGTGGCTTCTACGTAGTCTTTCCATCGTGAGAGGAAGTATGACCAATCTTCACTCGTGCCAGCGGATGTAATAGTGGGCCGTTTGACTTTTTCCACTTTATTACAGCTTGCAGAAGTCGAGGCTACTGTGTACACTAGTGCATGGGTAGTCAAAAGTGCAGCAACGATTGCAGCATCTAAGTCATCTGTTTCAAAGTCACAGTCTGGGATTGGACACTTCACTGAAGGCATCTCGCTTGTGTAGTTGTTGCTGTTATGTGTTGTTAGTGGTCTCTCAGTGGATTGAATCCTCCATCATAGATAAGTAGGCCGATACTATTTTCAGATAACTTTATTATCCAAAATGATGGAGGTCTGAAACATACAAAAAGTAACATTGTAAATAAAATCAACTATCTGTTGGTAAGACATAAGTAATAGACTAACAAATAAATACATAATCCTCTAATACTGACATGTAGTTATTGATTATGGCTGTGGTCCCATTCATCTCCCACAAACAATCTTTAATAAAAAAAAAAAAAAATACCGACAGGTTGACCAAACATTTCAGATGACAAATATAAAACTTTTTTTATCCGCGACAAGAAATAAAATATATTTATTTAGTATTTTTATCTTCATAATATTACTTGTGTAATGTTACAGTAAGCGGCCCTAAAACAAAATAATGAAATAATCAGATAACATATTTATTTGTTTGTAATACCGATTACGATTAAGCATAGGATTATTTTCAGAAACAAATTTTGTGGTTACAGTAAAAATATACTTACAAAACACTCTTTTTGGTAAAATTCATTCATTAAAATCGCAAAAATAGCATTACCCGGTAGTTGATTTACACTTTAATTTGAATAAACTGACATACATTTAATCAGATGATTTGAATTTAGATTTTTTTGTTTTCTAGATATGTTTGCAACGAATAGCGACGAGGAATCCGATGATGATTATGAGAAAATAATCGACGAGGTACCTTTAGGAATGACAGGTAAATTGTATCATTGATATAATACGGTATAAACGTATTTGCACAGCTGTATGGTTAATTTTTACTAGTTAATTCTCACTTGTCTTTTTTATAATCTATTGTTGTGACAGCACTATAAATTTGAATTGATTTTTTGATAACTTACGTTTGAGTACACTAATAGTCTAATCGTTTCTATCATATATTTATATATATATTATATATATATTTATCATAGATGACGACAAAAAACTTGCTTATTTCGATGTTCAGGGTGCTCTCAGTGAAAAGATCCCGGAGGTGAGATATTTATATTTCATCTGATATCAATATAATAAAAAATCTGTATGTTCCCTTTATCCGTCAGCCCATCCATCTGTAAACAATTTTTGTCGTCGTTATTTCTTAATGAGTACTGAATTGGTGTTTCGTAGATGTGTAAGTTTCTCTTGCTCTTTAATTGTGTCCTTATAATGTTTGGACTACACACTATGCTTCTATAACTTGAAGCGTATCTTCTCTCTGGCTTCTAGATGTGCCTATTTAATTTTGAAACCGCTTCATAGAACAAAACGCCGACAGGCGGCCATCAAGGTGTTGTCGATTGAATTTTGTTTTCGCTATCCATTATTTTTCCGAGATTTACGTCCACTTTTACGGACTTTCGGCCTTTAAGAAGACGAGAAAAGATAGGAAAGTGAGTAGTGAAGAAATAGTATGAAGCGATGGGAGAGATAAGGATACAGTGCTGACAGTCTAGAGTGCCCCATGTCAAGGGCTAGTGTTCCCTATCAATAAACTAATTATTGGTGTATAATAGCTCCCAATGCAACTCTAACTGCCTTGTATTGAATTATATGTAACTCATTGCGTACATTATCTGAAATCAAATTGTACACTGACAATTTGACTATTTTGGATCATATTAGCGCTCTTGTATTTTTCTTTGATTCAAAAATGTTTCTGGAAATGAAAGTGAGCGTGTTAAGTGCTCTTTTTCCGGTTTCCTGTTTATGAATCAAAATCACTCCGAGGTGATTAACTGCTATCATCTGCATTCATGCAGTTTGTTCATGAAGATATTAAACATGGTGGATGTGATAACACTATCCTGAGGGCTCCGTTATCTAGTTTTTCTTCTGAAATGGGAGTTATTTCCCTGACTTGAATTGAATTTTCATTTTCCTAGCTTTTAAGAATCGAGTTATGAATCTTAAAATATTAGCAGATATACCAATTTCCTTAAGTGATAGTAGAAGTCCTTCATGCTAAACAAAATCTTAAGTTTTTTCTAGGTCTAGAAATACAGCTTTAACATGGTGGTTTTTGTTTAACGCTTGCCGTTTTGCAATCTGACGTAATTCTAACTAGAGAGTCGAGTGTAGACCTGTTGTTAAAAAGCCACTTCGATTTGCATTGGTTAAATTGTGTTTATCACGCTATCGCAACTATTACTATACTAATTGACTAAATCTTTTTGTTTTCAAAGATCTTATCTATACAATCCTCCAAAGTTTAAGAACTCAGAACGGCATTAGTAAAACCACTTAACACCATGCCATTACGCAGAAGAAGTCTTTACTTTCAGTCTTATTTCAAATTGTTGAAATGTCGTTCAAAAAAGTTTCATGTTGTTCACTAATTGACATTCCCGACCGAAGCTTATTATTTATTCTGTAATGTAAACATATCATAGATCATTGTGTTTGAATATGATTATCAGTATATGCTAGTTCACAATGTCATTTTCATGAAGAGATTATAGGAATTCAGTATTTTGATGCAATATTGTAAACGAAAAAGTCATAGAATATTGTATATCAGGATTACAGGTTCTCCTTGAAGAGGGTCCTAAAGGAACTACGGAAGTTGAGGAGGACAGGAAAAGAAAAGGAGCCTTCAGAACCACCCAGCACTCCACAGACAGTAGATCAAAGTCAGAGTAAATCAGACAGTCGTAAATGGTTCGAAAAGCTTGGTTCAAACGATCTATATAGACACTTTACGAATATAAAACTGGACAAATTGGCTATCTGGTGCCGTGACGAAGGACTCAATGGGTCATTCTTTAACAACTTAACAGATGAAAATTTACAGAAAAACTTCAAGTTATCGCCCATTCAAATATTAAAGTTCCGTCGTTTTCAAAATGATGGTTGGATGCCAAATTAACTTGTTTATCAGTTTCACAAGGGTAGTAGATAAAAATAGACATGTTCGTTCGGTCAAGACTAACATTTTCAGTGGTTCAATTACAAACCATGAACATACTTTAAAAATGATGGATAAAAAACAACATTTTAAGTAAAGAAATTAGATCAATACTTTCCTTTTTTGCCTGTATACTTACGTCAGATTATGCATTTCACACCAGGAAATGTGCTACACTTTATTTATTATACAGTTGACTTAAAATATAGTTGATGACATGGAATACATTTTACCTCATATCTTTCATTGGATTGTAGGTTTTAACTACAGTGTAATTGTAATTTGTCTTTAACGAAACATAAGCCTGAAACAAAACAAAGACCATGAGGTCCGGAAAGGGTAAAAAAACATCTGTCTTGTATATTATGTGTTCTGCCAACAATATCATTATTTTGCATATTATTAAGTTAGAATAACATTTACGTCAATTATCCATCACTAACGTTTATAATTGGACAGTTGTACAAGAACAACTAAATCTTAACGGTCCATCCATATTGCATGACGCGGCTAGGGTAACATTTGGTTTAGCCATGTACTAGTTATTCGCCAGAAAACTGGTATGGGTTAAATATGTTTTAATTCTGTTCGATGGCATCGAAGCAACAGTTCAGACAATGATATGAAGCACTAGACTTGCGGATCCTATTAAAACTGGGAATGGTAGGATTTAATTAATATTTGTAATAATTAATATTATTCCTTTTTCACCTTATAACTGATAAATAAAAATAGATAGATTTTCATTTCTAAAAAACAGGATAGAAAATTTGCCATACACGATAGTAAACTCACTCTTTATGTCTACTGCATTGTTCACGGGTATTTTACATCGATTGTTCGGATTACAACACATAGAATATTGTATCAAATGGCACGTAAATGTTTTCAAAGTATTTTCTTTTAGGAAATGTTAATTGTACGATGACAGGGCAAACGCTTTTGTATGTAAGAACATGCAATCAGTTTGTATATCTCTCATTAACTAGTTAATACAATGTAAGTGTGTACTTTGCCTGCCGTTATTGTAATGAAACACTCGCATGTTCTTCACATCATTTAGAAATATTGTTCTTAATATTTGATAACACACTGTATCTTATATTCGATTTGACACTCTGTGAAAAAAAAAATTGATATGTACCAAAGTATGTTTGATTTAATTAATTCACAGGACGTTGTGCATTGTGTACATTTGATCATACGTTAGGAACATTCTGTACAACGTTGTGTACATTATGTATATTAGACACTCTTTCATTTTCTTGGATCAAACCAAATGTTCCGTTAGATTTCGATTTTATATGACATCAATTGTTTTGTGTCTGATTATTCCCGCTATTCAGATCATTTATTTACTTTCAAGGGCTTTGGCCACGATTTGAATGCGACACGAGGTCACATGACGTGTGACTTCAAGATGTAACTTATTTCGGCGATAGTGATACCCATTTACCTAATAAAACATGGTTTTAAATTAGGAAAGGGCAAATGTCATAAAGATGCCACGATGAAATGTTACATAACGTACATTTTCCTGTCGCAGCGTTCCACACGCAGATAATCACCTATTAACAACACTTCAGAATATATATAGATATTTTATAATTTATTCTCAGTAACGATTAAAGTGACTCATTTCAAGGTCAAATCAAACAGATTTTTATTTGTCATAATATATGATGCGGTGTGAAAAGGCTCCAAACGAACTCCTCATGATAAACAACAGTGAAACTTAATGTGTTATATGGTAGTTTGATTCTTTTAAGAACTTGTTGTAATCAACTAAGCATCTATGGATCTTTATATCATATTAAAACATATTGAAACAATGTAATACACATTCCCTCTCATTATCGAGCACCGCCATATGACGTTATTCTATACATTGTATGCTTAAAACGGTATAGTTTATTGGTTTAATTGATTTAAATGATAGTTTAATTGATTTAAAATAGAAGCTAGAATCTCGTAAACTGTTCTATATCAAATTACCAAAATCAGGAAGTAGGGATATTAAAAGGTACTTCGATTTACACAGTATGTACTATTTTATGAATAATACAGGTAAACAATCTACCTGTATATAGGTACTTTATCAGAACAGTACAGGTAAATAATCTACCTGTATATAGGTACTTTATCAGAACAGATTATGATGGCATCTCTATTGTCTTCCAGTGTTTGCATACTTCCTTTGTTCATGAAAAGTGGGAGAAAAGAGAACAACCCGTATAAGTTATGATAAACCAAATAAACACTTTGACGTCGCCTCATTAGATTTCTCATTCACGCCCAATGACTACCTTCGACTGCATAAAAACAAGTATCGCTACATTGGTGGCATTGCTGTTTAGATTGTGATATAACAAAAATAAACCAAGATAGTGGCCAAAACTCTGAAACCGTTCCATATCAATAATATAAACCGAAAATTACTTGACACAAACCTTTGTATTTTAAAATACATTATGTTATTATTTGTTTTATAAGATAATATGTACATAAGTTTTAAAAAATGTTCCGTTATATCTACATTTTGTATGATATCACCAATCGCCTTATTGTCTGACTACTGTCGAGTTTAACTGTTCCTTAATCCATACCGTTTTTATTTGAAGTTTTTATTTGCTCCTTAATTGTTTACGCTGTGGATCTTATTTTGTCCTTTTTCCTGTTCTTTTGATGGTCTATTAATTTACCTTTTACCGTTTTTTTTTTGTCTCTCTCTCTCTCTCTCTCTCTCTCTCTCTCTCTCTCTCTCTCTCTCTCTCTCTCTCTCTCTCTCTCTCTCTCTCTCTCTCTCTCTGTCTCTCTGTCTCTCTCTCTCTCTCTGTCTCTCTCTCTGTCTCCCTGTCTCTCTCTCTCTCGTAAATATTTAATCTAGAGCTAATTAAACTATATGTAGTACTAAGCATGATACATGGATTGTCTAATCTCTTCATATTTTACATTATAATGTGTAATTATTTGACTGATGCTAGTTTTATAATTGTATAACTGTATTGTAGATACTTTTTACATGTATTAATTGATAAAACTTAATTACCAATCTTTTTGATATTCTTATATGGTAATTAAATATGTTTTAAGTTTAACCTGAAAATTACTTGAAGTGGCTTATCATTTTATCAAACAATCGCATAAACAATATTAGTAATCAAATCTGGAAAACACACACGTTAATCAACAGTAACAATGGTAATATCAACCGTTATCGGAATCAAGTGAAGATTCCAGAGAAGCACGCGCACCATTATATAAAATGGCGACTTTAGAGGATATTTATTTAGAAATAAATCTTTCAACGATTAATCATATGGACGTTAATCAATGAAAACAAATTGTAAAATCACCAACATTGTCGTCTGCTTATTCTGATACTGGTCTGTAGACTTATAAAATACCTCCAAATAACTGTTCCCACTGATTTCCGAGCTTATTAGTATTTCAGTATCTTTACTGAATTTCTTGATTTACTCGGTCACGAACAACATTTCACAATTCTCAGAGGCCATTTGTATTTATCCATGATAACATCGGTTCATCCTAACCCTGCTCCTCTTTGCGCAGTGACATCAATATCAGCTGTAAAATTATACAAAAGTACACATGTGAATAACACTTTTTCATGATTTAGAATGAGATAAAATGGAGTCCAACAATGAATTAACTGCATCATACAGCTGTTTCGTCATTCTAGGACTCGTCAGTAATGCTAAGGGTCTAAAATTTGTAGCTTAGGAGCCGACTAAGGAAAATCCAAAGTGATCAACGAAAAAGTCAAGATCTAACTTCAGTGTGTTGTCACATTACCAGTCTTAGTAATGCCTTTTGTACTTACACTAGGAGTATATCCTTCGGCGATACTACAAGCATTAGTGTCCCAGGCCGTTTGACCGCAATGTCAGTGTTGGATGGTGCATCTTCTGATATCACACCGGCCTTTACTTACTTATTTCTGTTCGATTTATTATTAACTTAATCAAGTAGAGCTTGAGCAAGTGGAATACAACGTCGGTTCTAGTGTTTTATTTTCTATATTGATTATTAGTCACTGTCTTAGCAATTAAAGGAAATTATTGCTTCAATGACCTCATCGATCATAAGATTATTTCCAAAACGTTAAAGATAATTATGACGTAAATACATGTATGTTTTCAGTTAACTAAAATTGGATTTCAAAATACAGTGAGGTAAATACAGTACACACATATGATGAAATTCAAACTATAGATAGTGCATTAACAAATGAATAATTGTTATTGGTTTTTCTCGTCACCAAAGCGCTCTGATATCTTTCACTGGTCTTGTCTTCTCATTGGATCCCTGATCGGCCAATGATGACGAGGCAGGCTTATTTGGTAACGTGCTGGAATGAAGAATTATTGACCTCGAGTATTTACATATAACAAATGCCGATTTAGAAGCTAATGTGAAATACTTCCGGGAGCTTTCCGTTGAGTTTGCCATTTGTTTCCATTCAAATGTGAAGTCTAATAGTTATTTTTCCAATCTATTTGTAATTGTTTTATATTAAATTAATACAATGTGTTACAAATTGGACATTACTGTAAACTTTATGAACAAACTTCCCGAATGCCTGTTGTTATAGCAACTTCCATTAATTCATTTTTTTTTTCTATAAAGCTGAAGCATTACAAATGATGTCGAGATACTAAATTACGGAGATGTTTACAAATATAAGCTCCCACATCACTAAGCAAGGTAAACATACATACCGATTAGATAGTCGTTGACAATTTTGGTGAAACAGTTGTCACGTACAGTAAGTGACACCAGCGCAGTCTAAAATGCATCAAAGGTCACTATTAGGTAGAGGACTACGTGAGTTCTCAACATTTCGACAAGTTTTGCTGAAATTGGTGAGAGGTTTATCTCACATGGTGATTGTTGGGAAATGGTATCAGTAAATCTACTACAGCTTTGTCATGTTTAAAAATCTACCTGTATAAAATCTTATGTTTTCCTTTCATTCATTATTTTTGGGTGATGTTAAGTTTTGAACGTCAGTTACATTATTAAGGGGTTATGGGTTGTTTCTCTTGATAGAGACAAAAAATACCTTGTACTAAGATGATTAATAAAGACCAATCATATCATTGTTAGTATAATAAGTCAGGATATTCTACCTTGTCAATGTTACAGTTCTTTGTGGATCTCAGCAAGAACAAAATTCGATATCAACAATAAACACAGACACTATTATTTCTATTGACACGTAATCTTTATATACACCAGCAATATACACATCTTTGTTGACGTGCCTGACACTGCTATAACATTTGTATACAATGTCAACGAAAATTATACTTTTAAATTCAAATCTCAACATGTAAATGAAAACTGCTTTAAAACTCAAAAGCATACTAGCAAAATATATAAGGAGGACTTATAGAAGGAGGTCACTAAATAAGTAAAGGAAAGTTTAATTATGTTAAAGTTTTATGGCAGTCATAGAGATCTCACTGAGAAGTATCCTGCTGGACGAGCTCATTAAGAAACATTATAATTCTTTGTGCAATATGAAACTCAACGTGTTTGATGTTCGCTTAATTGTCTGTTGAAGAGTTACATGGCAGGTGTCGTCGATGAAGCAGAAGACACTTACTCTTCCGAAACACCTGGTCTTATTCTCCCTGTTCTTTTTCAGGAGTCTACGCGTAAATAGGTTTTTTGTTCATGTTTTTGCCCCGGTTTTATTTAACTTGAGTTTGGATTATGATTATGCTGGCATGTTGGTATTTTATTATTGTTTTATATATTCCTATCTATGATCAGAGGAAAGAACATTCCAATTGTGACGCAATATTTGAAAATAATTTAAAACTAAAAGTAGATGCATTATGGGACCCTGTTTAAGTATGGTGCAACTGAATACTATCAATATTCATGGTTTGGGTCTATTGTTTCTAATTCCGAATTCCAATCAACAGTTCAATTCAATGTTCAACTCAATCACAAATGGCATATTACATAGCATACATTCAACGGTCGTACTTATTTCATAATTATCAACTTTTTGAAAACATACAATTTTACAAGAATAGACGTGCATATATCATCATAGTCAACATACGTACATAAATGACGTAACATAATAAGCGCATCATCATCATCATCATCGATAACAACAAATACAGTGTCATAAACATAACAAGAAATGACAACAATGTATATATTCGTCATACTCTTATAATTCACACACTGACTAGTTGATATAGGTATCAATTACGATACTTATTATATCAATTACGATGGTACTTGATTGAACTCAAACATATACCTAGCTAGTTTATGAAGATCGCTTATATTATCGACACAAAGCAATTGTAAAAGTTTACACATGGAAGGGATTCGTCAATAAAAAGGTTTTTATATATTTCATTCTTAGATTCCGGTAAATCCTACATGTCAAAATAAAATGATATTCATCTTCGTTGTCTAAATTACAACTCGGAAAGCCTTTGCATTCTCAGTATATTATCATATCTGCCAGTTTCATTGGCCAAATTATACGCGGAAAGGCGAAGTTTAGATAAACGAATTCGATATTTTATAGGAATAAACTTCTTCAAATGGTAATGTAGAATAAATTTATTTGCAACGTGCTTACATAAAGTACATTTAGATGAGGACTCCTGTAATCCTCTCATTTTTATAAATACCAAAAACAACTTTGACAAGTATAAGCATAGTGATTTGTCCACATCTCCGAAGCCAAGAGAAAAAAGTCAATGTTTAACATGATTTACCCACTGAAAACGACTACTTAAAAAGGAATACGCAGTGTTCAAAGTACCTTTATTCGAATATATTAGTTTTAATCAGTATTTAATCATTCTATACTTTCATATGCATTCTAATGGATATCGACCTAATTCAAAACAAATCATTGCATTACATTAATTTTTAATATCTTCTTACAAATAGCGAGGATGAACCTTTTCCTTATCAAAACGCTTTAGCAGAGCCCTAAACTTCACACGCATAATGCAATATACTGCAAGCATATGTATCAAATAAATGTTTAAAAAAAAAAGGCTTTGCACTTTATACTTAAGGTAGAACAATTTGATAAAAGCTTTACGTCCCTGGTAACTGTTTTTGTATCTGATGGAATTTATTACTGTATTTAAGTGTCACTTCCTGGAAAACGTCAGAAACGTCCACCTTTTTATCGTTATAAGTCCATGATTCTCTATCATATATACGACTTCCATTTCGAAATAAAACAATTTTTGTTTTCTTCATTTTGACTGTCAAATTCCATGCTGTGGAATAATGATAAAGACTATCTAGAAGACTCTACAAACCTTCCATCAATTCGGAAAACATTACTAAATCATCAGCATACATTAAGAGAAATAAATTTCATTCACCAAAATCGTAATCAGTTGCTCCATTTTCAATAAATGAAATTTCTAAATCCTTAACAAAACGTGAAAACTATATAGGTGATAATATTTCCCCTGATATTTATCCAATATTGTTCCCAAAATAATTACCTTTAATTGAGACACAAGGTCTAACTGATTTATATAGTGACTTAATGACAGATAGCATTTTTCCTCGAATACCAAGCTTTGTCAGCTTGCGCCATAAGCTGATTCTATCGACAAAATCAAACGCTTTAGTCTACGAAAAAAAACAGTAAAAAGGCTTCTTTGAATACAAAGTTTA